CACGACTGGAACAGATGCATCGTTGGACCACTTCGTGGTAACAATGAGTGGACGATAATATCCTGTCATGGACAATGCGNCTTTTTGTAAAATCAATACCGAGCGCCGATTAAGAATTACAACTGTGCCTCTTGGTAAGAGTCCGTAAGGCCGGGCGTCTCAATTGTGAAGAGATGGGAGTTTGTTCAAACGTGCTTAAATTGCGCAGGCGCTGCTTATGTTATGAAAAAGGCGCCCGCATGCTTGCTGTTGGCTTAGTCTACAATGATCTTGGCATTGAACGTGGTGTTATACACTTCCTTCAGGATACTCCACCATATGATGATATATACATGCACTTGCTTGACCCACTAGAGGTCCCTCTATGCTGTTCCACAATTCACCTTCAAGACGCCAATGGAAGACCGCGCACCTGCATAGCCGTGGGGACAGCGTTCATTTCACGAAATGAATTTGAAGCGTCAGCCGGACGGGTCATTGTCTTCAGTAAGAGTGTTGGATCATCTCTGCCTGTTGTGACTATGATGACCGAGACTAATGGGGCAGTCTATGATATATGTGACATGAATTCCTGTCTTGTCTGTGCTGTCAATCATGCGGTCCATGTCTATAGCGTTCGTTCTTTGCGCTCCAATTACCTCGTGTGAACTACCGCGAGTCATAAGAAAATCGATTTGCCCTGCTCTAAGCAACCCACAAAAATACAGTTTGGTATCTATACAGGCTTCGTGCGGTGTATGAGGGCTTTGTTGTTGGAGTAAAGGTCAAATGCCATGCCAATCTGATTTTTATTGGCGACATAATGCACTCAGTCACGCTGCTGAAGTACAATTCCCATCCGCCAGCTCTCCTCGAGGTGTTTTCCCGTCCAGTTGTCACTATGTGACTAGCTATTGTAGGTTGCGCGCAACTGTGGTGGTGACTGGACATCGGCATTTGAGCCACTAAACGATGGGTCCTTGATTGTTGCGGATACACGTGGGGACTTGGCTGCGTTAGAGCGGAAGCTTGGTGCTTCTGATGAAGATACAAGCCTATTCCCAAGGGCGAAAGTGCATCTTGGTGATGTGGTCACTTGTTTTACAGGCGGGCCGTTGATGACTCTCGAAAACTGGTTGAGTGAGAGCGATGCAAATCTCATTACGCCAGTATTTTATGGATGCGTTTTGAGCAGAGTCTTTTCTATCATATTTCACAAATTGTGCCATGCAGGTTTCTGGGGCCTTGGGTTGCATTATGTCTGTGGATGACCTCATATTGGAGTTGCTCCAATGTCTGAGCGCTGTCATTTTGAGTAGTGATGTAATACTCAATACGCTTTGCCTGTGTTGTGAACTGAAATTTTTGTTATAGGTTGGCAATTGTCTTCAATTGGACTATGACTATGGTGGAATTGGACGCGATGCATTCGTCAACGGGAACGTTGTTGAGCGGTACTTAAACTTACCTTGCAATATTCAAAAGATAATTGCTGATTCTCTCAATAATGCACAGTGTTTCACTGGTAAGGTCTGCGCAGATCAACTTGTTCATATCCTCCTCAAGTTGAGAATTGGCCGTTTTGTTTCGGAATAGACCCGCGGAATTCCTGAGTCTATGTGTGTTGGGCGACGCTTCTATTTCCTCTAGACTCCCCCCCTTTGACCTGGCCTATCCATGTTCCGGTCTGTCCGTCACCAGTGAGGGCGACGGAGGGCGCCAACTTAAGGCTTATGGCACTGGCAGGGAGCCCCTCGACCAGCTTTTGAGACCTGCCGGGCTAACAAAAAGGTCCGCTCCATGAGGACCGACGAAACGGCCGAGATCGGCACCGTGGGGGCTCCGGCCACACGGAGGGGCCCCCAGCAGACCTCGATTTTGACGTAAACCATGGCCGCGTTTAAAGGACCGTTGTTCCGTCGAAACACCCCGATTCCTCGTCGATTTCGCCTCCTTGAAGGCATTTTCATTGAAATCCAGGGGAATTGTGCTTCGCGGGACGCGCGCGCAGTATGTATTTATCCTTGTTGGTTCCCAACAAAGTCACGGTAATTTCCCAAACTTAATGTATCAACACCCCGCGTAACAGCGTTCTTTGATATGGAGCTACCACAAACGCTTGCGCTGGATCACGCCGGTCTTCCGCCGTCCATAACGATCGACTTTGGCAGGCATTGTTCTCACTGAAGTCCGTTCCAGGTCTCTCCTGCAACTCGCCTATTGGAGAAACGACGACAGATGTTCGAGGTCCAAGAAGCTTTGGACGCGCAAAAGGAAGAGTATCTAAGGCACGAGGACGCATTTCGCCGACGCGAAGAGGCTCTTAGAAAGAAGGATGTGGAACTGCAAGACTCGCTCATCAAGTTCAATAAGTTCCTTCAGGAAAATGAATCAAAACGAAAGCGAGCAGTAACAAGAGCGGCTGATGAGCGCAAACAGATAGAGCAAAAGGAGCTCGACATCGAACGTCTGAGTAAGCAGCGGCAGATAAAGATTGCTGATGTTCTGACACACTCACTTGTCCAGAGCTTTGACCGCAGATAATTATTCGCCACTCTACGTAGGCTACAAGCCTAGAACGTGATCTACAACGAAACAAGGTCTGCCAGGAATTTTTGACAGAGGTCTGCGTACACCTCACAGAAGATTACCATGAGATTCAAGACCTCTTGAACCGGCACAAGACGCTTCGTGGAGCCAACGATGATCTCTCCATGCGCCAAAAAGACTATGAAGATTTGTCAGAGAAGAAAAAAGATGATTTTATCAAATATATGAAGGAGCGTGCCAATGAGATTCTTAACGCAAACAACGAAATCGCCTTCCTCCAGGACAAGCTGGAGTCGACTGAGTCAACAACATATCGACTTCAAAACGAAGTTGATTCAACGATTAGGGGAATGTCCGACAAAACACTTGAGCTTTGTCAGATCTTGAGCGCAGTAGACAATCTTCTTGAGCGCTTTGTTCGTCATATGCACTCTCACAAGCAGAAGCGTGATGTGCCATCCGAGAAAAAAGTTCCCAGCAAGCCAGTTGCAAAATCCGCTGAAGATCTCGAGTAGAGTGCCGTGTTTGTAGAGCTTGCTAATTCTTTAGCTGCATTTTTAGGCTGGAGGGCAAGAGAGCCATGGATCACCTTGACGAGATTTGTGCTTACATGACTGATTACAATGACATATGCGCAGAGTACGACAAGTGGAATTACAAACCAGTGAATCGGCCTGAGACATCGTAGGAAGAAGCCCCTCCCAAACATTCCAGGCCGTTGCCCCCTGCAAGAGGGCTGACACCGGCCACCTGATCGGCGAGTTTTCGTCGTCGCAGTACCGAATTGAGTCCCGACATGATTAATAACCAGGAACCTGACGAGACCGGCACGCCTATGGGCAAAAGCCACGCCGACGCTCCGACCCAACCCGCGTGGAGCCGGGGGCTTCGTACGAAGTAGTTGCGGCTAAGATGAACAGAGGCCTGTCCAATCCCCAGTTCCGATCATCCCTGTCCAAATCCCAAGCCACTGGGGACAGCGCAAACTTGCGCCGGCAGACTTACCGGCAGCAGGCCAACTTTGGTCCCCCGACGTTCCCCAGCCGGGACGTTTCACCTGACTTGATTGCAATTGCCCAACGTATATATCATAGACGATGCGAGCCATTCGTTTTGAAGTTCGCACCTTCTTCAATGTTGGCTTTGCGCTCAGAGCCACTGGCATCAATATCCCAAGGGCCCATCGAGCTCGATGAAGTTTATTCCGTCGACGGTTAGTTTCTGCTTATGGACAGTGGGCTGATCTAGGAGTCACCCGGTGGGGGCCACAGTTACCCATACGGAGGCCCCACTGCCGATTGCCGGCCCGAGGCGGGGGGGCGTCGATAGTACCGTAGTCGCATGCCAGCCCAAGGCTGCGGCTTATACTTGGATTTTCAATGAACTTAGCCAGCCCGCACTCGCCACCACAGCCCGGTGTTGGCTGGGAGTTAGCCGGGTCGATGACCAACCGAACGAGGGGTGCAAATACCTGGGGTGTGCACGCGCAGTGTGCACGCTGGATGTGCAACTTGTTCATTTCTGGCCCGCGTCGAATTTCCGCGTTCGCTTGGGGGGGGGTGCTGGCAAAGTGTGTCAACTCTGTTCAGTTTTGGGAACCTTGATTTTTGCAAGTGCCTCGAACCAAGCTATTACTTAATGACTGTCAAATTCCCCGTGGTCGCCACCAGACAAGCTATATCGCCGGGCTTGGGGCCTAATCAAAACCAAAACCAGGGTCGGTGGCTTGTCATACGAGATTGGAAGTCGCCATCATATGAGATTGGAAGCCGCCATTCTTAAGAATGTCAGCGTAAAAGCTCATCACATTTTGTCTGGGCCCATTGGGCAATATCATGGAGGTTAGCGACGCGCAAACCCTCTGAAATCATATCGTTGACCGTTGGCTGCCGGAAAAATGGAGCCACCTACAGTTTTGGCTGTATACACACCGTTTTTAAAGGCATATATATATTGGCGCAGAATGAGAGCCTCTCCAGCGTGCTGCATCAATAAAACAGCCAGGTCACCAATCAGACCAATGCAATTTTTGGTGATGGATTCATCATCGTTTTCCCTCGCCACGAGTTGAAGAAACTGAAAGATATTCTCCAGCTGTGGTATTATTAGGCTGGAATTGCGCCCATCGTTAAGCCTAGATCAAAACATAGTAAGCATATCAATGTATCGCTATGTCATCACACTGATAAGCTTTACCCTTGGGTTATGCCAATGTAAGCCTCGAGAATGCCTTCACGCAGCGAACTTAGATACTCAATGAGCTCATCATCATCACTCGATAGTTTTGTTCGCGCAGCTTGATCAAGCATCTGGAATGTAGATGGAAGATATTTGATAAAGTTCGCACCAATGGCAAGTGCAATATCACCGAAACAAGAAAGCACGGCTGGTTTCACTTGCCTATTCAGTGCGGGATTCTGCAAATCTTCAAGCAAACAGCAGATGATGTCATCGCAGTAAGGTAAGATTTGTATTTCTAAAGCACGGCAAATATCACCAGTTGTGCCGACTGCTGCTGAGCAAACCTGCCATTCTACGTAATTTCGTAAGCCTTTCAAAAGGAATGGGAACAGCTCTCCTATGTACTTCTCAAATCCATGATCGATCGTGGAGGCGACAGCCCCCATCGCCATGAATGCCTCCTCAGATGCAACCGCATTCTGATTGTTGAGAACTTGAAGAAGCAATGTAACAATATGATCACAGAAGGGTATTATTTCTCTATCAATGCCACGTGTGATTACCTGCATGACACTACAAAGCAGGCTTTGAAGTTGGTCACGCTCTTCCTTGTCGTCTTGCGAGATGATTGGCATGGAAAATGTTCCGTGAAGACGCTGCAAGACAACCTGCATCACTTGGATCACCACGGGTCGTGTGTCGAGCGCATGGTTCTGTATTAGCATATTCACAGCTTCATATGCTTGACCGCGTAGATTGTGATCTTGCCAGTCACGGCGCTCAGTTGCGGCGAGCAACTGTGTAAGAAGGGGATGAAAGAAAGGTGATAGCGCATTCGTCTCGCCATGTCGCGGTGCGTGTTCAAAAGCTTGTGCAAGGTTATGCACGGCAAAACAGGCTTGAGCAGCGACTCGTGATGAGTCTTGAAGTGCATTGCTGAGCTGTTCCACGAGGGGCTGGAGGTAGCCCTGAGGAATGCGTTGCGCATGGAGCTCGCAGATGCGTGCAAGTGTCCATGCCGTCGTGTCTTTGACAAGAATGTGCTCATCACGAAGTGAACGGATGAGTACAGGCATTGCTGTCTGCACAGGTCCAGCTAAAGTGTCTGGTTTTGGTCCCTCGAGGATCTGTCCAAAGGCCATGATACTGGCCTCACGTCGCCGCCATTCGCTGTGCAATATGTTGGCTTCGACGAATGCAAGCACATCTGCGACAATGATATCGCCAACTGTTTGGGCAACTAGGCCGAGGCAAATTGCGCCGGCGGCGCTGATATTCCACGCATCTTCGTCGGCATCTTCATCCTGCTTGACTAGAGTAGACTGCAGTAGCACAGGAACAATGTGTGTTGCCGCTGCTTGAACATAGCGCGCGCACTCGCGCTGCGGCGTCACCTGAGGTTCTTGAAGCTGCCCCTCTTGCGTACCTTCCTCTATAATCTCCATTTCCTCCTCGCAAAGGGTAGACCAGAACTCTACAGCCATCATCGACACTTGCTCTTCCTTGTCCTGTTGGATTGCCACTAGTGTCAAAGTAAACAGTGCTTCGATGTATTGTGGCAACCTTTCATAATAGAGCGATGCCACGCGTGCGAGAGATTCAAATGCAACTACACGAAGCCGTTCATCTGGGCTCTTAGTCGCGCTACAGACCACCTGCATAATCATAGTGCGTTCTGTTTCATTGTCAAAGTTATGCCGGGTAAACACTAGGCTGTTCAGCAACGCACGTGAAGCTGCAAGACGTACTGAATCGACCCTATCTTCACGCATACCATCAACAATGGCTGTCAATATTTGATTCGTTTCAAGTTGTTCAACAGATTCTTCTTCAAGCTCTTCGCACATGTACCCAAGGGTCTCTAGGGTCACAGTTTTAAGAAGATTACTGTTAACGACGTCGACTGCGGTCATGTTTCTCAGGAGCTGGCTCAACAACTCAGGCCATTGCTTTTCCTGCAACTCGATAGCACCAATTTTCGCTACGACTTGCGCACCTGAATGCGCCGCCTGTTCCACTTGTGATCGCAGCGCTTCTAATGACAAAGCCTTGATCCGAGCCCGTGAGTGCGCATCTACAGTTGAATACCATCGTTTTTTTTTTTCCGAGGCGATATACGAATCTCGTGCAAACAAAAGGTTCTTCAGATGAAGTCCAGCTAGTTGCCGCCTGTGGCATGTACTTGGCTGTGAGATTCAAGGGGAAGGCTTGAACACAGCAAGTACGAGTTTCCATCGAGACCTTCCCCCGCAAGCTCTTGAGCGAGAGCGACCATGAATTGTGCCTGGAGGTTTTATTTATTTATTTTTATTGTTGCACTGTCGCTCACCAACGATTGTGTTTCCCATTGCTTTAGTTGTTGTTCAGCCGAGTTTCTTGCATTGACGTCTATGTGGCACAGATCAATGACTTTGGGCGAAATTAAGAACACAGAAACCTTGGCTTTGAGCATTGAGCAGGATGGAACTCAGCTCCCTCATCACGGGCGACACGGTATGCTACTCGCCCACGGACAAAAGATTCGCATCTGGGTACGATTTGCATGGTTGATTTGGTTTTTGACCCTCGCCGGGGGTCGACTTTCCTACGCCTCTGGACGCCACCGAGGCCGATTTCGCTTCGGTTTTGCTGTTTAGTTCCCTCGTCCGGACCTTCGCCCCGGGCCTGGAACGTCCAACCGTTAAAATCGGCCTTCCTGTTAGCCCCCCCCCCCCCCCGGTCCCTACGCCGGCGGCCCTCAGCGGCTAATTGAGCGGCCTACGCCGGCTCGGGGTCGCTCTGGTGCCGTTTGGAGTCTAGCCTGGCGCACTTGTCGTGCTTCGCCACTCTACGACGGCAACTCCGTTGCCTAGTAGGCTCCTAGTTAGCTAACTAAAGGCCTAACTAGCTAGCATAAGCTTATTTCTCTAACCTGTAGCAACCCCGGCGGGTGGTCAGGCAAAAAACTCGTTTTGACGCGAAACCGGCCGATTTGGCAGCACCTCGGCGCGCGGCGCCGGCGTCTCCGCGCCCGAACCCAAGGGCCCGCCCGCAGCCCGTGTCTGGGGGCGCGGACGACGCTTGGTTTGCGCAAAACGGCGCCGGGGGCGCCGAGCAGCGACGATCTACGAAATTCGCTGCGCGCGTCCATGCCACGGGATGCGACGCCGCGATCGACCTCCGGGAAGGCCGAGGAACAAAATTTTACTCCGTGGGCACCGCGCGGGTCCCCGGCGATGGGCCGAACGAGAAGAAAATCGCTTCCTTAAAGTCGGCGCTGGGAATTGCACCGCGCGGACGCCCTGCGCGACTTTCCCGAGAACGCGGGCGCCGAGCCGGTTCCAACTCCATACCTCGGGAACGCTGGCTACGAAGTCGTCGCATATGTGGTAGGAGTCGCTCGAGGCCTCGGTGCCGTGCGACGGGGCTCTGACGATGATCTGGAGATGCTTTCTGCGCGAGACAGCCCGAAACTGGGCCCGAAGCAGCTTGTTCGCGGATGTGCGGTCGTTTCGCGTCGACCGATCACTGCCGGTGCGTTTGGTAGGGGTCACCGAGGACACGGAGCACTTGCGCGGCGACTGGCGGCTGCGTGGGCGACCGCGAGGCGCCGAACGGGTGTTCCCCACTGCAAACAGCGCGAACCACCGGGGGTCCACCGCGGTCCGGTGCGCCGCCCTCCGGGTCTCGCTGGCGGCTTGCGGGTCCACGGGGCTCACGGGGAAGCCCCACCGCGGCCGTGCGATGCCCGGGCACCCGAGAGAGCGATGCTTCTTGTCACAAAGAGGCTCTAGCCGAGGATTAGCCTCA